CCTCCCACCAAAACATCCATTTCTACACACTCATTCTTTCCTTGAAACACCCTGGGGAAGGTGCAGAAAGTCGATTCTGTGGCTCAGAAGGAGGTGGCCTGATGCCAGGCCCTGTGGATGCTCAGTTGGGCAGCAGATACTCGATAATTGATGACTGAGACCAGGGCTCCCCACAGACCTCTGGGATGTGTGTTTTGGGACGTCTGGGCCTGCATGGGGCATCTCCTGTAAGGAACTGGTAACGCAGACTCACTCCTCTTTCAGCAAGAGGAAGAAGAAGGACTAGAGTCCTGACGTATGGGCCTTGGCTCAGGGCACACCTGTGGCTTCTTGTTCAGGGCATGCTGGGGGCCCTAGATGGCAATCTGGCTTCTGTGAACCATGATTTGCAAGAACTTCCCAGACAGGCACCCAGGCTGCAGGGCAGAGCTACCCCTGCTTGTTAATTAGCCTCCCTCCGGTCCCTATGGCCGACTTCAGAGGCCGCCCCGAAGACTCACTGCCTTGGGCACTCCAGCCTGCATACCGTGGACGTCAGCCCAATGGTCAGAAAGCATCTGGAAGCTGTATTATTACAACACTCACTTCGTAAGATTGGTGTGAGGATTACATTTTCAGAAAACAAAGCAAATTAGAATATATGTCTTGCTTTTCATCCTTTAAGTGCAATTGCATCAGCTTTGCTTAACTAGTCCAAAGTAGAAAAGTCCTTCTTGGGGCTGGCAGGTAGTGTGGTGGGTAAAGTGTTGGACTTCCACATGGCTGACCACAGTTTGAATCCTGGACCTGGCGGCTTGAAAATTACACTGGGAGGTATGCACACATACCCAAAATCACAAGAGGAGAATGGAGGAGAAAGGATTGCTGTGTGGCTATACTCCCTGGGGGATGATTTCTCACTTTCCCTCTCTGTCTCTGTCTCTCGTGTGTGAGAACATGTGCCCTATGGCAAAAATAAATAAATAAATTTAAATCTGAAAAGAGCCCTTCCTTTCAAACCAGGAGTTACTTTACACATTTTCCGAAGCACCCTTCCTTGAGTTTTAACACTTCTGTTTTTGCAACAGAGCTCCGAGGGACCAGGCATGGCTCTTCGACCCTATAGTAATCAGGAAACTGTTCAGAGGGTGAACTGAGGTGCCCAAAGTCACATCACTCAGGTGTCCAGCTCCCAGGAGCGTGTCCCATGCCACTTGCAGTGACGCCTGTCCACGGGCATCCCCTTGGCCAAGAACTACAACCCAGGTTGTCTTCGCCTGTCCCCAGTTGAGCTTTCTAATGAGTATCTGAACCCTCCTGGCTTGGGTAGAGAGCTGGACTCCAAATGTGTGTTTTGAAGAAATGCTCCCCTCGCAAAGAAGGCTCCTGTCCCATCATTCAAAGGATGGTGGGGGTTTTTTTGTTGTTTTTTGTTTGTTTGTTTGTTTTTGCTGTGTCTTAGCCATGGCTGGGGAGGTGCTATTCTCAGAGAAATCATTTTGCTTTCTACCTGCTCTTTCTTTAGCAATTGTGAACATCCATCCTCAGATTCCTGTTTTGGTTGCTGTTGTGAAGCCAGTTACGAGTGTGCTGTGTGTGGAGACAGTGATGAAAGCCAAGGACCTGGATGGGAGGTTCATTTAGGAAGAGAAGAAAATTGGAGTAGAGGGAATGTCTGTCCTTAAGATCTCTGAGACCTGAATAAGCGCAGAAAATAAAGTATTACCAGACACAGGCCACTTTAGAGCATTCCTCGTGTCTGCAGCAGTTCCTCCTAAGGAGTTCTAAGTTATCTGCTTCACTTCTGTCAACCCTGAGGTCAGGAGAGAGAGCGTGGAAATGAGAAAGCCTGGCCTTGTTCTGAGATGCACACTTGGTGAGGAGGCCTCATCCTGACAACTTGACCTCTGCCTGCATAATTAGCCAGGCTCCTTGGTGTGTGGTGGGGCAAGCTGTTGCTATGGAGACACTTGTGCAGTAGTCTGGCCCGGTCTCACCTTGATTCCCTTCTGGAATGTTCCCTGCAGTCAGAGGAGAGAGCAAAGTTGGCAAAACTACTGAGCTGCTTGCCACTCAAGCAGGCCTATTCCCTGATGGCTTCAGTTGTAGGGACACAACGGATTTAAGCCCATTGAATGTGGTTCCAGGTGATGCGGGCGCCTGAGTGAGCAGGGTACAGGTCCGATCTCAAGGAGCTCACAGTCTAGAGAGATCGCTCTGTAATTAACTCAGAAACTGGAGGACAGACACATGAAATAGAACCTTTAAACTTAATGCCATGGAAGATGCATTCTATAGATACTATGGCGGTTTCCACAATAACAGTAAAAATAATGTCTGCCAGTTGCCGTGCCAACATGTGCTTGAAGCCGCTCTCACTGTGTCACAGTACCCTCGGGGCAGGTCCTTTTAGCCTCATTTTCCTAGGTAAGAGCTCGGCAGAGAGAGCAGCACTGCTGAATTTAGACACCTGCAGGAGATTCCAAGAAAGGAACAAGCAGAATTAGAAGATGATGGTTCTCAGCCATAAAGGCATTTCGACAAGACCCCAAAGAGGGTGAGCACTGCCATGGAGGGTCTGAGTCCCTGCCATGAGAGGTCTTCAGGCAGAGGAGGCTGCAGGTGCCACGGAGGCTCAGGACACCCACTGGATAGAGTCAGGCTAGGGAAACTTCACCGGCTTTGGGCGAGTCATTGTTGAGAGTCAGGAACAAACTTTGTTCCTGTGGGGATGATGAGAATAGGATGCAGGTTAAGGTGGTTACCAGGGGACACACTGGGAAGAAATAGGTCACAGGACTGTGTTGGAAAGAACCTTCTAGGTCAGAGCAGGGGAGGGCGGGGAGAGGAGAGAACTAACAGTTATGAGTCACCGTCTAAGTGGCCGACATTTGGCCCTGGACATTGTGCACATACTTCACGGGGCCTCACGACCAGCACTGGAGCCAGGTATTGATGCCATCTTCAAGTGAAAGATGAAGCAGTTCCCGAGGCCCATGGCGGTGAGTGGCAGAGATGAAAGCAGAGCCTGCGTGCTCTCTCTCTTCCTCCTGGATGACAGGGGCTTGGGTACGCCAGGGTTCCACCTGAATGAGCTTCAAGGGCAGGTGTTCCTAGATGGAGACTCAGGACTGGATGCTGTCTGAGGAGACACACTGAGAGATGGGAGGGTAGAAGCCTCGCCTCGACCATGCTCCCAGGGGTCTTGGACTGATTCTAGTACCCCCTGGAATGGAGGGGAGGAGTGGGGCATCATCATTCCAGGGCCTGGGTTGGGTCCAGCCTCCTGATGTTGAGTTTCCTTAACTATGTCTTAGGAGCCAGGGGTGTCCAGGGATGTTGGTGACCACCAAGAACAGCAAGGACCCCAGTGGGGGGTGGGTAGAGAGGGACAGAATCTGAGCACCATCCAAGGCCAGCCAGCTGGGAGTCCTAAGTAGCCGTGAGTTCCAAAGATGAATCAGAGGAGAAACAGAGAAGTGAAACCAAGTCTAAGCTCCCAAAAGCTTGGAGACCATTCTGTAGTTGAAACACCTGAGATTCAGGGGAAGGGACTTGCCCAAGGTCAAACTGCAAGAAGGTGGCCTCCCATCCTGTATTGCTGCTATACCCAAGATTCACTTTGACCATTCTTTCTTATTTGGCATCCTGATGTGTCCCTTAATTATATCTGGCTTCTTCATAATTAGTGATATCTATGAATTTGCAGCTTAATATGTTAGTGTACTTTTCCATCATACATAAACATAAAATACAATTATAGTTAAAAACATGTTCATTCGTGCCCACCTGGGCTCTGAACACCCTTAGGCAAACACCTTTGAACAGAGCTGTAGGGGACACAGAACTGGCCCCTGTCACTCCCTAGTCCACGTGTCATCGCTGGACTTCTGTGCCTGTATGTAGCAGAGGTGGTCGTGACCCAGAGGCTCTGAGTTTACTGGAGATAATACAAAGGATGACACTTTAAGTTGAGACAGGATGAATACAGGTGCTGTGCTGAGCCACTTAGTACCCGAGGCAAAGAGGGGAATTGGAAACGCGAATCCTGTCTTTATATAAAGTTTCATATTTTGTTCATCATGGAGTTTGTTTTTTAATTGCTGACTTTGTGGTACCCTCTCTTGTTTCCTTCCCTGGTGAGTGTCTCTGCTGTTTGCCCAAACCCCTACCCTGTTGGGGTGGGCTGGTCAAGGGTCAACGGTCGAGGGCAGCCATTTGGGCAAGAAAACCAGACTGACTGCAGGGCTGGGCTGAGTCCAATCTGAGCTTACATCAGGCAAAAACAAGTCTACCAAGGAAGCAGCCCACATAGCCTCTGGAAGCCAGGGGGAAGACTGAGCTCAAAGCCCCTTGGGATGGTCTGGTCTCACAGCACAGACAGGGAGCCTAGGCCCAGTGAGGACAAGGCTTAAGATGACACCCCCTTGTGGCAAGAGACATGCAGCCCCTCTGGTCCTCATGGGGGCTGTCTTGGGTACTATTTCAACTAAAAGAGCCACAGAAGCTGGGGTTGAGCCCCGAGAACAACCCTGCTTTCAGTAGGGTTCCTGCAGACCCCCAGTGGAGACCTCCAGCCTACACAGCCTCGCTCACCTCTATTTGCACTCCAGGTGTCTGAGAGCTGCCCTAGAAATGAGCTCTTGGAGAAGCCTGAGTGGCCCACCCTTAAAAATAACCCCTGCAGTCTCTGGCTTCTGAGCTGGGGACCCTGAGGACTATGGGGTCTACCCCTGACCAATAACAGCTTCCCTGAATGGCTGCCAGCTAGAGGGCCCTTGGAGAACCCCGCAGCCTCATGTGCTAACCTCTGAAAGTACAGATGGGTGTTCGGTTCCTCGGCCCC